ACAAATATCTATAAACTACAGCTTCTTAACTTCACTCATCAGTGGCATTCTAAAAAATTACCAAATATCTTTAATCAGCATTTTCGCTATGCAAGTGAAGTCCATACATATAATACGAGATATGCTTCAAAAAGTAACTTCTACAAACCACGTTCCAGGACCAATATAGGAAAGCAAACAACAGCAGCTATGGCGACCGAATTGTGGCAACAGCTCCCTACCCATATAAAAGACCTTTCAACTTATAACTTTCCTAAAACATTAAAAGAATACTTGTTGGCCGAATAATTAACTTACTGAAATTATTTTATTTCAATCATATCGTCTTGTACTATGATGACTGTTTTCTCTTCTTTTTTTTGCCATCTATGTGCTTTCTTCTTTTTTTTTTGTGGTGTGTGTATGTCTTAAGATGTTTTGTATGTCTAGTTATTGTAATGTCCTGTACATTCGACACTACTTTCAAAGAACTAGTTGCTAGCTCGAAAACCTTACGGTTATCTAGCCGCTAGGCATTTCCTTCTATGTAATAATATTTAGTTTAAATTGTAATTGAATATTCTACGTGTCAAGTTACTAATTATTCAATAATAATACTAGGCTTTCCAGTAGCAAGGAAAATTCATCAAAAAAGCACCATGCGTAAGACCATTCTTCACAGAAATGGAAGGAAGGTAAACAATAATAATGCGTGTAATACAATTGTCAGAGTGAAGCAATAATTCTTTAAATTCAAATGATTTGTAGGAATCTTAGTTCAGTAGCTGAACTTTAAGATTTGTCCTGTAAAGCATCCCAACACCTCCAATAATTCCATTGAGCCTTGGGGAATGAACGGAAGTGTATCCAGTTGAAGTGACATCGCGGGTAATGTTATCACAACATTCATCAGCTTTCAGCCAAGTTTCAGTTACTGCCAAAATATCAACGTCTCTGTCTACAACATAGTAGAAAAAAATTTTATTTCGCTTTTCGTAAAGCAGATGAAGATTGCTACTATGCGTTTTTTCGTTGATAAGTAAAACCAGTTTGGAGATCAAACCATAGAAATGCATTGCTTTGCCAGTGAAAATCAGACTTGACATGTTAAGTTTATTTCTGTTTTAAAATAATACGTCTTTGGCCATAGCCTTTGTCATTTTTGTTGAAGAGATTTATTTGAGTCAATTCTAAGAAGCCTGTCCCTCCCCTGACATATCCCAAGGGCATTTGACGAGAGAATAGCTTCGCAAAGTGGGAATTAATTTGACAAAAAATTAGGTCCACATAAAACGTTGGTCAGCGGTTGCTAATTAGAGTATTTTGTATTTAGTGGAATTTTTCGCGTCATAATTTTTTTCTTTGTATCTCATGTTTTTAATATCAAAGATGCCGTGTTTAAAGCATGGAAGGATGAAAACGATTTAATCTTGATCTTTCTCCTTCACGTTTTCGGCCTTGATGTTTTCTCATTGCTGGTCGCCAGATTTTTTCTTTCTGTTGTGCATTTGTAGCACTCGTTCAATTCTTATCTTGTTATCATATTAAGCTATGACTAGTTTTGCTGATGCATCCATAGATTTTTGAAAAGGTTTGTCAAATGAGGGCACAGTGCAAAAGTAATTTGCACCTACATGGGTATTAAGATTCACCAGACAACCCAAAATGAACAAAGTAATAGAAAACAGCTACATTCCAGGAATATAAACCTTGGAAAAGGGTTGGGGTTCGGTTTTGTATTTACTTGGCCAGCAGGGTTTCCTCAACAGAACGGGGCGCCAATTACTGAGGGCCCGTAACGGTTCTTTTTCCTACGTCGCCTACTCTTTACACGAACTGTGTATGCATTAGGTTCTTTAACATTCCACAGAATTATATGTGCAAGGTTGTGAGACGGGGTTTACGGTTTACCGCTCTTATCCGAGAAGACCAGAAAGTCTAACCGATTGTAGATGTCTTTACAAAGGCAGCACTTTCTGCTCAGTCATTTAAGAACCCTGATTGTTGGTCAGGCAGGGGTTCGAACCAGCGGCCTCCCACTGGGAAGAACGGCGCTTTTCCAACTGAGCTAGCCGAGCAGCGGTTCCCGGTCAAGTTTCATCAAGGTTCTTATTTAACCGCTTCGGTTGCTCATTTTCCCTATAAGCAGAGTTCTCTCATGGCGAGAGAAAAATGAGAGGAAGGAGAGAGACCTTGTCGTTCTCCTTCCTCCTTCTTTTCATTTTTCTGTCGACGTGAGAGAACTCTGCTAGCAGGGAATTGGTCATTCTACTGCGAAGATGATGTTAACGTATATATCTTCATCCGCCGTTCAAAATTTGATTCATTTCATATATTTCAATTCACTAAAATGTGCTTGGCAACGCGGTCTCGCACGCTGGAAAAAAAGAAGAAAGAAGTTGAATTGACAATTTCTCGAGGAGGTGTGCTATGAGGCAACCTTTTGTATTATATTCACCAGTTCACACATTTTTACATGGAAGATGGTCTGTGCCGTTTTCATTAAAATTGACAATCACGAGGTCCGTTATCTGAAATAGCTATTTCCTTGCTATGCAACTTAACGTTTTACTTTTAGTTGATAAAGAATGGAAGAATAGTCTGATAGACCAAGTTTTATAGACAGAGGAGATTCCTCACTAGCATTTGATGTTGGTATTTCACCATTGATAAAGGAGGCTTTAGGCAGAGCGCCAGGAATAGCAACATGGTTGTAAACATTGCATTACTTAGGAGCAAATGTCAGCTTAATGAAGCTTAAAGCCGTCGGAAACGCTGTTTTAAACATCTCGAAGACTTTTTCTTACCTTCAAGAGCATCAACGCTAGGTTTCTTCATTGGAATCTTCTCTTCGAGTAACTTGTCCTCGAGCAACATATGTTCCGCCCTACGAATATTTAACGAAACAATAAAAAACATTAATATTATGAGCTGGATAAAACAGGCAGCATCTCTTCCCCTCCCAACCCGTTGTATTTACTCGGTAGCTTTTATATTGTGTGCGTGAAGTTAGTTCTGTAGTAATAGCCATTGTATAATTGAATAACATTTTCTTGGATTAAAAGAAAAAAAAAAAGAAACAAAGAAAACTAACCGGTATTGGACAATATAGTACGAGACCCTTCTTAAAAATTAATCCAAACACTGTCGTGGCAGCTGTTCAATTCTGACAAATTTAACTTCGCTGGTTTACATAGTTTGCTTTTGAATAATCACTAACGGTTTTTGAGCTCAGTCCCTTCCCCTTTTATCAGATCTGCTTGTGTGTGTTGCAATGTGCGCGCCCTAATTAAAACAAAGGGAAAAACTTGCGTTTTCAGTGATATATGACTTATTGATATCACTTTAAGCGCTCTTAAATCCTTGATTCCTTTTTGGTGCTCAAGTTAAAGAGGGAAATACAGCAAATGCCACTTAAAGCAGTATGGACAGAGAGTGACGTTTAGTTCTATCCTGATCTGATATATATATAAAATATATTTATTTATCACTAGAGCTGTTTATCTAGATCAGGCAAAAAAGATAGCAGATTAGACGTACAAAAATCGCCACTCCGACAGCCTCACCAGCAGCCCTTCCACCATCCATTCCAGTTTCAGTGAAACTAGGGCCTTCCAAAGGAACACCTCTGAACGCCTCCGCCACTGGAGCAATCGTGATATCACCCATCATACCTGTAACACCCCCAATGAAACCTCCAAGGCCTCTAATCATCCTGGTTCCCCACCGTCCTATAAAGCCTTGTTCTGGTGAAAAGAAATAATAAAAAAAAAACAATTAAAAACAATTGTTACAAAAACAATTAAAATAGTGACTAATTACTGTCATCCCATTTGCGTTTTTAATTAACGCATGTTCACTTGAGTCTGCTGTTGACAGCAAACCCTGGAATGCATGGGAAGTGGAGTGATGATAAGTGAGCCTCATCAAAATGAAACTACAACACCGTGTCTCAGTCCCCTTCTTTCTCTTCTTAGCCCAGCATTTTGGAACTTTGAATAAGAGACGGTCAAAGTGCGAGAAACTGACTTCATCTGAGTTGAAAGAGGTTCTTAAGCACAGCAAGTGCAATCCTATCTTTTTTCCAGGGCCTTTGTGGTGATCAGGAAGAGATTCGACCCTAGACCTTCGACAATTGCCACGGAACAAAAAATTGGATTTGCTGAACTTTTGATCTTTGTCAAAGGCAGAGTTAAACTAGAGGCCAGATGAATTGAAAAACCGAATTCTTAAAACAGAAAAAAAATCTGTACGTAAAAAGGCTAGCCTTAGTTCTACTTTATGGTGCTGTTTACCCTTTTTTGTTTCATGCAACTTAGAGTTAATCGCCGACTTGTTCAAGGTTAGTATCGTTCTTTCCTCGTTAAAGGTGTTTTGGCCGCATGCAGTCTTAGCTCTTCTGTCAGCACCCACAGCATCATAGTGGTTTGATAATCTTACAGAAACGAACCAGTCTGACAGTTGGCGTCCAGGAACTCCAAGAAACCTGAATTTTTTTAAATCAGAGAGACTGATGATAAAACTCACTCACTTGCTTTGGAGGCAAGACAATGGTGATGGGAGACCAATTTGTTGACATGCAGTTTGCAAACAACAACAACAACAACAATTTAAAGCAAATAGCTGGGACGCTAGTCATGGCGGGGCAAGACAAGTTTTAAAACCTTTAGGCAAACTTAATGAAGTCTACGCGTTGAGTAATTTAAGCTTATTTTGAAATGCGTTTTTGGGCGGTTAATGTTACTATTTCGGTGAAAGTTAGAAGAGTGCAACTAAGTATTTAAACCAAAAGAATATAAAGAGGCTTTATTTTCTGCTAGCGATTTCGTTGGTGGCGAGATGACCTGTTGACCTGTTCCGATTTTATTGTGTTCCAAAGTAGTCAAGTTTTACAAATACGGCTGGGCTTTATAGCAAACAGAAAATACAAAAGTACTTGGTGCCAAGTATATAGAAACACTAAACCCAATTAAGCAAAATTCTGTGAGCTAATTTTACACGTAAATAACATACTGAAAAAATTACTGACTTTGACTTGAATCATCAGATACAGTGATTTTCAGTTTCTTTTCACAACGAATCTTTGAAGACTTTTCAGTTCGACCGGACTGATAAACTTGGACATTTACCGTTGCGATTTGGCAATTTTGAAAAAAACTTCCCGAAGTTGCACCCGATAAAAAGCTTTCCGCTTTAGTATTCTCTTCAATAGATATAGCCTGCGTGCAGACGATAACTAAACTCTGATTAGTACCGTCTGCGAAGCAGCGCAGAGATCCTTGTTCTGGACCCCCAACCGACTCAACGAATTACCGGAAGTGCGTTTCGAATTTCCCTTCAACCTGATGGCTTATTATCAGTCTTGCGACAAACAAAACAAAGGTCTTTTTTAACTGGCCAATCGTGGTGCGTACTCAAATCTGGGTACACAGCTGGAAGTCCAGAACAAGGATTTCGGCGCTGTTTCGCAGACGGAGTTAACCAGAGTTTAATTTCGTCTGCGCGCAGGCTACAATAGATACGGCTGACAAGCTTTGGCTGGTACTGGCAGCATTAGACAACACAGCGGAAATCTGCTGCTGTTTCTTGTCGGATAAAGATGAGTAGTTGTTTAAAGAGTTAACGTTTTTATGTCCAGTGAGCTGAATGATTTCGTTTGGCGGTATGTCATTATCAACCAGCTTCTGAACCAAATGCTTTCTTGTGCTGTGATTTACAAGTTTTTTATCTGTTTCTAGACCCGAATCTCTTATCATATTCTTGAGCATGCTTCTCAAGGAGTTGACTCCAAGCGGAGAGCATTTGAACCACATTTGACCAGGTTTCGGGTTTTCGTTATTAACCGCAAGATAGAAAGGAGATTCATCGGTCATCATGCTTGTGGGCCGGTGCTCTTTGTAAGCCAAGTAGGTGTTGACGGAGCAGCGATCTGCGTTACTCTTGTCTTCGTACATTTTAGTTTTCTTCTCTCTAATATTTCGAGGGTTTTCGCCGGTACGCGTTTTCGTTTGTCTTTCAATGTTAAACTCGATGAAGCAGTTTCCTTCCGAATCTGTTTTTAATTGCAAATCGCCTCAGCAAAGGTCTCTCTGCTCTTTTCCTGGCCTCATACCGAAGAATGTACAGTTGTTCATCCAGAGGGTATTTAATAGAGCTCTAGGAGAGTGAATTCCTAGGACTTTGCGGCTGTAAAAAGTGTCAATGTCTTCATCTGAAAGTGGGTCTGCTGCATTAGGCCGGTTTCCTTTCCCGATGGATTTCAGCTGCTTTTGTTTCTTCTTTAAAATATCTTGCACTTCGTGAAATTCCTTGTCGTTAAGCACGGAGAATCCATAGTTGTTTTTGCGAAGATGCCGGTCGATGCTTTGGATAAACGCTCTGAGAGACGAGGGTTCGTATTCTTAACCATTTTTCTTTCGCACAGCAAGAACAAATTTTTTGATGATTTCTTGCAGTTCCACGGGCGTAATATCTTCAATTTCCCTTTTCTGAGGGTCTCAATGGGGTTAACCGATAGGCGTAAAACGGCCGTATATTTAGTCGATAGCCGTAAAAATTGAAAAATTTTGACCGTTAGCCGTAAATAGGGTAAAAAAGAGTTAACCGTAAAATAAATTGTTCCTTAGATTTGCTACTTTTAAGAAAAGTACTAAACTCACTTACACTCACTCCCGGCTGGTGTGACTCCGTACGCACGTTAGGCGAAGCGCCTTTTACGTGCTAACCAAGACCTAGGCTACGTGCCAAGACCTAACCAAGACTAGGCTGCAATTTCAGGAGGTCGTACCCTCGAAACACTAGTAAAACAACACGCATAGATGTCACTGTTTGTAAAACACGTTGCCGATAAACATTACTACGGTAGACATTATGCATAGTCCCTGTACGGCGTCGTCCCACGCAATCTCGGTCAAGGCATTTCGGTGGCGAACTCGCTCGGACCACGTGACTCGAAACGCATTAGCCGCGCGGAATAATTCGGCCTACGGACAAGGCGACGGCAGACAGTAATTCCGTACAGTCCCTCGCTATCATTAAAAACACTGGACACGGGAATTTTGTTATTGGCCGTTTTCTCACTAGAGCTAGAAATGGATCATCCGTCTGAGACTAGCCTGTGTACAGTCACCCCTCCTCCACAGACACCCCTTCTCCGATTTTTTCTAGGGGGAGGGGGCGGCTGTACACAGGCTATATGGAACGGATAATCCCGTCTTCAAAAGTCAGGCGGATTGTTCATTCATAATTAAAACTATTCCATTTTTAAATTAAGACGTACATGTATTACCTATCTGACGCGAATCATCAAACGGATAACCCATCTCACACGAATAATCCTTCTCTAGTGTGAAAATGGCCATTTCTGTTATAATGAATGTTGCGCCCCGGCCTTGAGTTGGGCGTTCGTATGTCTGCTTTTGCTTTTTCACAAAGATTATTTTTAAACTGACTATTGACATTTCTATGAGTAAAATAATATTAGAAGTCAGGAGATGGCTCCTGTAGAAGTGGAATACTCTA